GAGCCTTTGGCTCAGGTGAGCTTAAAAATTAATAATCAGGGATCATCGAAATAGTATTGTATACTAGTAACTAACTTGGTTGAATTTGCCTCGTTTTTCATGACCATAATTCCCACAATATCTAAACAAAAAAACTGAAATTGGGCACTATTAGAAAACCAATTTAATTCATTGCTAAACTACATAACATTCTTTGTACCTTGGAAAACATTTCATGTACAAAGATAAGGTATTTTTCTCTCTTGAATTATTTACTCTACTTGTTTTTAATATTATTGGATAACTAAGAAGAAACAATGTAAGTTTCTTTGTCAGTTAACATATAAATTATATTATTCATGTATCATCAGCGATATTTATTAGAAAGGGGAACTAATCATATTTCAGTATAGTACAAATTAAAAGAGATCAGCTCAGCACTAAAAAAGCTGATACCCCTTTATGATTACCATATGCCCAAGAGCAGTGAAAAAATCATCTATTGTGAATAAATTTGCAATATTTTCAATAAAGTTTCAACACAATTTTTCTGATTGTACAACATCGTTTCAATGTTTCAATGTATGCATAAAATCATAAAAGTTCTCTCTGGATTTTACTTACTCTATTTGAGGTTGCCCGCGTGGGCCAGTGGTTAGAGCGTCTGCTGCTTTAGAGTCGTGACGTAAGGAGTTGATTCTTACGTCGAGGTTTCAAATCCCACTGTGGGACGTGATGATCGGTCCTTCGCAGCCCCGTGTCGCAGTAGGTGCTGACACGAAAAAAATCCCTCTCTGCTCAATGGCCCTAGCATAGTACAAACTTTGCAGCTCTCCATCAGCAAGTGGTGACGTCTTCATATGAGTGAAAAATTCTCGAGAAGGACGTTAAATAACCCAATCAATTAATATTTTTCTTGAGAAGACTTAGACAATAAGTTATGACTTTTTTCTAAACAAAGTATAGTCACATTAATCATAAAACTAGAAACCCGTTGCGAGGAAAGATGATCTTCCGTCCAAACAGACATCCTTTTTGAGTGGTATTCGTTGTATGTAAAATTACAAAAAATAAAAACAGAATTCTTAAAAAGGCAATTATCATTTATAAAGATTATGTTTAAAAAATTTGGATTAAAGCCAGATTGCCTTTGTAAAATTTAATATGGAAACAACCATTCCAGTGCAATGATCAAGTAATCAACGATGTTCTTTGCACCCATTAACTGTGAGTTTTTTCACATTGTTGAATTGTAGTATGAAAGCAGGCCAGCAGAAATATTTTGAACAAACAGTTGAACTCGGGAATTTGTCACTTGACTTAAATAACACGTGTTGGCAGAATAAATAATCTATTATTATAGAAACTTTAGCTGCGTTTACTTCCTTATATTCTTTTTGTTTTCATCTTAAAAAAAACTTTCACAGTAGCTTAATCGGTAGAGCGTTCGCTCTGTGATCGGCAGGTAATTAGTTTGAATCTCGGCTGCGACTGACCTAAGTCGATGAACAAGGATAGTAAGTGTTTCTTCGATTTGCGGTCGGCCCTTGAAGTGAATGTTGCAGGTCCTTCGGATCTTAAAACCTGACGTCCCGTTTCACGGCAAGCTTATCCACAATAAAAATACTTAACTGCTCAATGGCCCTGATTGCCGAGTAAAGGTCAAAATTTGATGTTTTATAAAGAATGGGTTCCGATTCCAATTTTTGGAAACATGAACCAGATTTTACATTTTCCCTTCCATCATTATATAAGCGTATATGAAGAATGGAGAAGTCTCTCGATTTTTTCCCCAGAAACAAGCAGACGTACCCTTATAGAGATCAGGATTTCCTTTGATAATCTTCACATCACATCAAGAAAATATCAGCAATAAACAACGATTATTCAGTAAACATGGCGTTATGAATAGTGATTACTTTGATGACAATCGCTATTCATAACCCCATGTAATATATTCGGATACACAAATAGTCATACATGTACTTTAAAGTGAAATCATACCTCTCTGATACAGTTTCTTTTGAAAGCTTTTGATAGTTTCAATGCTTTCCTCTGTCATCACGTCGACAATTGTTGCATCGATCACAATAGCAACTAAATGAATTTTATCCTTAGCAGATGGAGACTTCACAAATCCCTGAGTTTCAGGACTTAGAGGCAAGTCTGGATTTAACTGCAAAAATGATTTTATAATATTAGAATTGAACTCTAAATAGTTCCAATTAAACTGTTATTATTATTTCCAATTAATTTCTGATAAGAAAACGTAATAAACATGTTTATACCCGCACTTTCTGAAGAAAGTTCGGGTATATTGTTGTTACTCATGTCCGTCCGTCTGTCACACTTTTCTTTCCTGGACTCCATCTACATTTTACATAGTTACCTAATCATCTGTTGGGAGATGGTTGGTGGTGTCATGTAGATGTGCAGTAAGGTTTTTGAAATTTCATTTTGCTAGGTGTCAAATGAGGGTTGAAAAACGACGTTTTTTTATACAAAAAATCCCGTTTTCCCTGAACTCCTCCTACATTTTACACAGTAGCCTAACCATATTTTGAGAGGTGGTTGGTGGTGTCATGTAGATGTGCAGTAAGATTTCAGAATTTTCATTTTCCTGGGGGTCAAATGGGAGTCGAAAAACGTTTTTATGCAAAAAGCCCCGTGTTCCCTGAACTCCTCCTACGTTTTACAAAGTAGCCTTATCATCTTTAGGGAGATGTTTGGTTGTGTCATGTAGATGTGTGGTAAGGTTTCGGAATTTTCATTTTGCCCCAGAATTTTCGTTTTGTTCCGGGGGGGGGGGGGGGGTTGGGTCAAATGGGGTCGAAAAATGACGTTATTCAAAAATTCCTGTGTTCCATGAACTCCTCGTACATTTTACACAGTAACCTAATCATCTTTTAGAAGATGGTTGGTGGTGTCATGTAGATGTGCAACAAGATTTCGGAATTTTCATTTTGCCCTGGAGGAGGGGGTCAAATGGTAGTCGAAAATAATGTTTTTTATGCAAAAAGTCCCGTCTTCTCTGAATTCCTAGTACATTTTACATAGATACTTGTTGACAGGACCCCCCCCCCCCTCCAATATTCAACCCGAAAAGTATGACACAAAGGAAGTGCCTATTTCCTATAATGATAACACCCAAAAGTGATTATAACGTCAGGCAGAAACCTCTCGGACGTTATCGTAATAAGTGAAACATTCTCTATGCACTTTCGTTGCGTTTACCTAAGGAAATTTCATGCAACATTCTGACTGGTATGCTGTTTAAGGAGAAATTGTGGGATTCTTACGGGATGCAGAGTCAATCCGATAGCATGAACTGGGACAGAAATATATGTAGAGGCAGTGTGGACCGACATTTAGGTGAAAATGAAATGAATCCATGTTTTCAAACACAGAACGACCAGTGGGGATACAACGTTAACAAACCGGAGTTGCTTACCTTTCTCTCTTATAATGTAAAATGGGGTATTTTTGTGGAGCGATTATTTTGGGGGTTTGACAAAAAAGTGTCAAATAAGCCCCGGGGTTGAATATAGGGGGGGGGGGAGCCTGTCACAAGTACCTGAGCCATTTTACACAGTGGCCTAATCATCTTATGGGACAGTTCAACCTTTTAAAATTTAGGTAAAACATCAAGCTCAAGGGGTACAAAAACAAAGCATGTTGAGAAACATTGTGTTATGGGTAATGTACAGGTCAAATTTGAAAGTCATATCTTTTCTTAATCAAAAGGAAATACATTTTTGAAAAGTAAGTTAAACGTCAAGGTCAAGGTCACAGAGTCAAAAGTTATGATACATTTAGAAAGCTAGTCTTATCACAGGTAATATACATGCATGTATAATATGAATGGCCTATCTTTTCTCTTTCAAAATGATCAATTTAAAACAATTTATTTTTTTTGACAGTAGGTCAAACTTCTAGGTCATGGGTAAAAAAAAATCATAGTGTATTAATATTGGTATTAATTGTCCCAGTTAAATACTAATGCTCATGTTTAATATGAAAGTCTTGCCTCCTCTCATTCAAAATATATGACCATGATGACCACGGTTTAATTTATTGTGACAGACGGACAGACTGACATACAAATGAGATTTAATGTTCCCAACCTTTAGCAAAAATAGGGGACAATAAATCTCCTTGCTGCTCTTGAGAGGAAGATTTATAATGGAAAAAGTCACCTGTCTACTGTGAAATCACATATTTTCGTACGGTTCAATTTTTGTGGTTTGAGGGAATAATCTTGGTTCGTGGGGATTTGATTTAGTGGATAAATGAATTGTTTAGAAGTTATGTATGCAACCTTTTCCATTTCGTGGTGGACATGAATTCGTGGGTCTCTTCATACCTCGAAAAGAATGAAAATTTACCCTCAACGAAAATTTGTAATTTCATAGTATTTACACGTAAATTGGTTGAAATTGGCCCTGTGGTTCTAAAGAAGTTAAACGTGTGAAAAGTTTGCAGACAAACAGATAGACGACAGACAAAATGTGATCAGGAAACCAGAAAAGCTCAAATAAGCTACACGTATGATTTACAAGTATTTGGAAAGGGTTACATATTCTGAAAAGCTTTTTTCCCATGCATTTTTTTCAAAAGCTGAAAATGTATGACAGCTATCCATGTTAGAAAACAGTATGATTGAAAATAGTTAATCAAAGTGATCTGGGTAGCAAAATAAAGCTAAATTGGTATGGCTATTCATCCGCACAGCTTAGTTAATTTTAATATTCACAACCTTTTCAATTCTTTTAAAAATTAATTATTTTTAAAATATTCATATCATTATGTCTGATTCAAGGGATAACTCGGGATATGACCAGAAGTATATCTGTTGAATATAAAATATGAACATGTATACTGTTCTTTTTTAGTAATTTGTTTGTTTGTTGTGACAGCAACTGTTATGGCAGCTTTTGGCGAAGGTTGAAGTTTCTCAAACGTAAGTCAAACTCCAAACTCAAAGGATCAAAATTGTTGGTATCAAAAGGAAAGTTTTGTCACAAGGAATACACATGTGAAAAAGAGAGAAATCCCTTAGTTCCAGTTCAAAAATATTGCTTAGGTTAAAATTTTTGTTTAAGTTGGTCAAACTCTAGCTATAGGGTCAAGGTAAAAAATATTTATACCTGTTGGAAGTTCACAATACACATGTTAAGCATGAAAGCCCAAGCACCAACTGTTCAAAACTTAGACCAAGTTTAAAGTTTTGTATTTTTCTTGTAGAAGTAGGTCACACTCAAATGTCAAGAGATCAAGATTTCAAAATTGTTGGTACCTAAATAAAATGTCTTGTCACAAGGAATTTACCTATGAAATGTGGAAACCATGTGTATAGCCCAACTTAGAAGACACAGACAAAATATAATACAAGAAACAATTGAAATATGTAGAGTCAAATTGATTTTTTTTTTATTATTTTTGAGTCACAAGAACATTTGTCATTTATGAGACAGGGAGTGGCTAAGGAGATCATCCCCCCTCCCCCCGCCGTCTGGAATTCGCAAAGTTATTTGAATGGGACTATACACTGAAGCAAATAAAAATGAATTTTAACATCCTCCCCCCTAGAAAACATAAACCCCAACATCATTGTTTTTATTTTATTTATTTGTTAATCTTTGCTTCTCAGGAAATTCTGGGCTGGAATTTTTTGACAAAGGTGTGAACCACCCCTTTCCCCACCCCTCCCGAAAAAAATCTGGATCTGCGTCTGTAACTAAATGTCACGTCGAGAACGGGCTCATTTGTTACCTTAGAATTTTATGCTTGATTTCACGAATTCATGAACTGCATAAATTATAGAATTATTTTCACTTTTTCCTTTGAAAGCCAAATGTGAAGGAGTGTGTATTTAGTGGCAAACACCTTAGTGCGGGAATTACTGTCTCATGACAGCATCTAGTTTCATACAAGTAGTCCACTACTCTAAAAAAGAGAACAGCGGGGACCAGCCAATTTAGAGCTGTATTTGGCACTTTCGGCTTATTACATGTAGCAGGGATGAATCACAAATTGAAACAGGGGTTTCACCGAGATAACCTATTGGTTAAAATGAGAAAGTAAGGCGTTATAAAGAGCAACCAAGTGGTTATCGCAAGTTAATTTTTTTCTTTATAAAGTCGAAAATTAGCCTATCCGTCCTTCGAATTTCTAGAATTAAACAGTTAGATTTTTAGGTCAAGTAATGTTGTCCGTCCGTCTGTCCAGTTTTCCATCTGTCTGTAAACAATTTTTCAAAGTGCTACTCCTCTTACAGTTTTAGTCAGACGTCAACATTATTTTGCACATAAATAGACTACACTAAGATACATAATCCTTTGTAATGGTTATTGATTTTGATGAAGGGTGCTGACTTTGTTACTAAAAAATATTCTGTGAAATACTTTCAAAATGCTTTTTCTCCTAAAGTTTCATCTAATTTCTATATAACTTGACATAAAAGTCGACTACTCTGAGATACATATTTCTGTTTATAGGTTTTTGATTTCGATGAACGCTGTTGTCATGGTTACTTTAAATAGAAGTTTCTGTGAAATACATTCAAAATGCTACTCCTACTACAGTATTCGTCTGTTTCCAATATAATTTGGCACACTAGAAGACTTCACTAAGATTCATAACTCTATATGCGTGTTTTGAATTTCAATGAACAATGTTGCCGTGGTTACTAAAAATAGAAGTTTCTGTGAAATACTTTCGAAATGCTACTTCTCCTACAGCTTTAGTCTGAATGTAATTTGGCACCCAAATATATAACACTCAGATAAATAGTTGTGTGAATTTTATGTGGAATACTTTGAAAATCCAAATAGCGCTTTAGTCTGAATATAAAATAATGTGGCATGAAAGTTGATTTTATTATTTTCTTTATGAATGATGTTGCCATGGTACCTACAATTGAAAATTCTGTCATGTTTTATTAAAAGGTACTCCAACAGTTGTAGTCTAATTGCAATGTTGCAAAAAGACTTATTCAAGTATCATTATTCTATTCATTGCTGTTGTAAAGTTTTAAGTCCCAACTGCTACTTTTATCATCATTTGTTACAAGTATAAGTACAAACCAGTAGGAGTAGTCTTGATGGACACTTCTGAGTTAGCTTACATTAGCTTAAAACTCAAGTTATGAGCTTTACAGATCAAAAGTTGTCTGTCGTCCGTCTGTCTGCGTGTACGTTTGTTCGTCTATTTGTATAAATTACTCATTTTCAACTTCTTCTCAAGACAATTGTGTCAATTTTAACCTTCCTTTAAACTTCCCGGAGTTACTGTAGATGCTACATTGTTAAAATGATAGCCTCTCGATGTTGGCTGTGGCCACAATAGGGGGTTAAAGTTTTACACTAGAACATAAAGGGAAAATCTCTGAGAGTCGTATCCAATAACCGAGAAAAGGTGGAGGCTTCCTGGGTGTAGTGTAGATTCTACATTGATCAAATCATGGTTCCAGCGGGTAGGTTTTGGTGACAAAATGCAGAATCCAATGTACGTTGATATACATCTGATGTTTAGAATCTTCTTAAAAACAACTAGGCTAGAAAGAAATTTAAGTGGAAGATTCCTGGGGTTAGTGTAGATTCCAAATTGCCATAAAAAGGGGCGACTTAAAGGATTTTACAACGCTAGAATCTGTAGCTCTATACTCTTTTTTTTAATTCTCAAACAGAGAGCTACTGCCGAGAGATATTTTATTTGTTGTTCAACATAAAACGTGATTCTTTACAACTGATCTAATCATCGATATTATCTGAGTTAAATTTACCATGTGTTTGTCTGGCATGTTTCCGTCCAGTATGTAAAGAAAATCATGTGGATCTATTCCACCCTCTTTCTCAAGTCCTTTGGTGTCACATAGTTTAAAATTCAGCATTTTCCCTGCTTTTCCATCACGGATGTGATAAGTTCGAAACTTTGAAAAGAAAAAAAGTTCATTTTAAGATTATGCAATCTTAAGGCCCTGTCACACCAAGCTGCGTTCACACGGAGTAATTACGGCGTTGTTAAATTTTTAAAATCACCGTAGAATCGCAGGAAAATTGCACAAATTTCTGTAAAATTTTCATAATATGAAGATGTCACGGCGTCCCTACGGCGACGGACGCGATTCTACAGCGATCTCACTGCGTTCCCTCGGAGATCTCTCGGCGATTGACTGCGCTTCCGCGGAGTTTTCACGGCGCGTTAGGAGTTTTCACCTCGTGTTCACGGCGTTCTCATTGCGCTGTCTGCGTTCACAATGCGTTCTATACTCATTGATATTATATTTAGAAGGAATGTAAAACATTTTTGTTTAAAGATTCAAGTTACACGATGAAAAGACTTCTAATCATGCCAAGAAATATTCATAATAATCAAAAATGTTCTATTTAAATAATTAAGTACTAAATTATTAATAGTTTTATGATTAAACTCCTTTTTTCAATTTTATCGGTTAAGATGTGTTGTTAGATTTTCTTTGATTTTATTATGAATGTAAAAAAAATAAACACACTGAAAAGTTTTCTACAAAATTTAAGTGAAACAACAGAACAAGTTCTGGTGTAATTTTCTCTTCCATTTTTTTTTCAACTAAAATGCTCCTAGTGCAACAAATACTTTGGAATTATTGCTGATCAAATATGATCCCATTGCTCTTGTTTTGTGAGCTGGCTGACAACGTTCTAACAACGCCGTGAAAGCGCATTGTGATCGCAAACGGACGCTGTAGAAACGCCATGGGAGCGCAATGATGGCAGTGACAACTCCGTACTGTCGCCGTGTAATCGCAGTCGAAAAAATCACAAGACGATAAATCTCATTAGAAGCGCCGTAAAACGAGATAGAAACGCAGTGACATCTCCAAGGACTCCTCGACATCTCCGTGGAAGCGCTGTCTACTATCACTGCGTTCGTGCCGCGACCATGTGCGTCTTCACGGCGTTCGTACGGAGCTCCCACTACGTTGTTGGAGATCTCACCGCGCTGCTACGGCGATCATACTACGTTTCTACTGCGTTCTTATCAGACCGCGATCACACGGCGCGTACTTTGTGCATGCCCAAAGTGATCGCCGTCCTCTGGCGTTCTAGGAGACCCTACGCGACCCTACGGCGTTCAGTGGAGATCTCGCCGCGTTGTCACGGCGCTGTAGGAGACTCTACTGCGATCACCTCGGCGTTTTGCATTTTTTGAGGACGCCGTGCGGTCACCGTGAGGACGCAGCCCCGGTGTGACAGGGGTTTTACATGTATTAGTAAATATCAAACCATTAGTGAAAGGTATACATTAGACCTTAAGGACATAATATTTTTACACAATTTGTCATGGTATGAAATGAAATATTTGACATGGGACATGTCAAAAATGTGGTATAATTAAGGCCCTTGTAAATTCAAAAGGCCAAAATTTACAATTTGTTGAATAAAGACATGCATGTGCGTTGAAAACCATGGATTTTATGTTGAATATAGGTTATTATATCGATTTTAAGTGAGTTTATGGATTAAATTAATTATTTCATATCTCTTAATCCTACACCGTTAAAACGTTTCGTCGACTGGATATTCATATATCAGCCACAGAAGTCATCGTAAATGAAGCAGGAGTGATCATTTTTGGCCATTAGACATCTTTCATGAATCAAGGTTCAAAAGAATTCAGGTGGGGTCAATATAGGTTTTTGATTTGAAAATGTTGTTGACAAATTCCCCTGACAAGGTCATTTTAATATGATATAACATGTGTAAGCTACTCCAGTATCTTCTTTAAAAATTTTTTAAAAAAATTAGATATTTTAACCATACAAATAGATAATGAACTTTACCGTATTAGTAAGACTTTTTTGTGCTGAACCAGAAATAGCTTGGAATGTCACAAAACCAGCAAAGATGGAATTTACTGTGTTGAAGAAACTAGACTTTCCAGATCCAACTTCTCCCAGTAGAAGAATCTTCGCTTTGTCAACACTAGTCTTCTCGTAGGGACAAAAGTTCTGAACGTATTCCTTCAGTTCCTGACAGTACTGGTGAAAATAATCAATAAAGAAGATTAATGCTATATCAAGATAAAGAAGTAAGTGCGGTATGAGCCGAAATCTACCCTTTCCTGAAATCTGATGAAATTTGTTTTTGAAACATGTCTAGATTAACCACTTCCTCATCCATTTTATTTTTTGTTATTATCTCCATTCATTTCTCCAATGAAAGAGATAACGAACAGCATTCAATATCTAAGTCCATAAAAATAATAAAAATAAAGCATAATCTCCAAAACATCAGAGGTGGGAGCAGGTACCATGGAGGAGTAAGCATCCCCTGCTGACCGGTCACACCCGCGGGAGATAAAAGAAAAATCCGTCTTCAATTCAGTGTGTATAAAATGGACTAACAACTAGTATGAAAAAGTCAGTCAGCATTTACTCAATGATAAATTGTTTTTCCTGACAAAGTCATTGTTTCGAAAATAGAATTGACAAAATGATAACTTTAAACGTGCCTGCTGAATTTCTTGTTTCATCAACTTCTTTGTGATTAATTAATTCTTTGCAGAAATTGTTCATACGTAGAGCATGTTCTTGTGCAATTTAGATATACATGTATAAACGCCGTATGCAGGTGATGAAAGTTTATTGTTGCATACATAAGTAAGGGAAGTTGACAATAGAATAGTTTAAGTCATCACGTTTATCATAGAGCTTGGTTGTTAGATTACCGTTATATAATAAAATATCCAAATCTAGTGGTAACTCTTTAAAAACAGGGTTTTCAACGTTTTAATTTCCATACAAAATATAGATTTGGAGCATGGAAAATATTAGTTATAGCTTACTCTTCTGTTCCCTTAGAAATCTATTCTAAAAATTTGGAGTGAGTTTGAATTTCGCTGAATTTGAGTTTTGAAAATAAATTCCCTTTAATGGCAATATTGTTGGTCAATAATTTGGCTACGTTTTCAAAAAAAAAAAAAAAAAAAAACGATGCATCAACAAGTTCAAAGAATCATAATTTATAGTGTGAATTCCACAATTTTACTTTTTATTCAAGATTTTATATTAAAATTCTAAATGAATGATAGATGTATCTTTTATTAATTTTGTATTTGTGTTAATGTAGTATAGTTTTTAAAATAGAAATTAAACAAGAGAAGACATACATGCATAAAATTAACTGCGTACAAAGTTGTTCGTGTATTTTATGATGATTGTTATTGATGATGACTATATATATAGTTCGTTTATTAATTACATGCATTTAAAATAAGCTAAGATGCACTATATTTCGACTTTTTCTTTTATAAAAATACAAATACAAATAGTCCTTTGAACTTTACCAAAACAAGGACCCCCGGATGCTCAAAGTTCTCTCTTAGTATGCAAAAAGCATTTAAAACAACTACTATGTCTTTTAAATTAATAATTAGCACTGCAAATTCCCCTTTTAATAAGTCGCTTGAAATTCATCTAACGATAGGATTTTTTCGTTTATTCTTTAAATAAAATTGTGAATCATGGTTAATGCTCCTCCTTTTCTTGGATCACACATAACACACATCCTTTTATTGTAGACTGATCTGCCATCACGGTCACGAAATACAAATATATCTAAACTTAGTGTTTTTTTTATTTATTTAAAACATTTGTGATACATGATTCAAGCGTCCGCGAGGTCAGTTATTAGAGCGTTTGCTAATGTGTGTCGCAATGTAGAGTTGATCCTGACGTCGCGGTTTCTAATCCAACTGCGGGACGTTGAGACCAGTCCTTCGCATGAGACCGTATAAACCGAGGTCCCTTGTCTAAAGTAGTTTAAAATATAACGTAGTTTAAAGTTGTAAACCACAGATATTACAGTAAAAAGATATGTTTAGATGATAAGCACATTCCTGTCACACTTTTTTTATGCATTGAAATTCTAAACACATTGAATTTCATCACATGTAACGGAAAGTGTTTAGAGCCCAAACACTTACGAGGGTTATCGGCAAAGTTTGTGGACAAGCCAAGAATTAAATAAAAGTTGTGTCATTGATATTTATTATTAGCATATTTCTAATCCTTTTCTAAATTTGAATTGAGAAATGTAAAATCTTATTCAATTTCAAATTTTTAATTACAATTAGGCTTAATAATTAGACTTGGTATGGCGACCCGGAGCACGGCAAAATTTTCATTAAAAAATTATTTATCACTTTATAGATATCATTTGTATTCTATAAAATTCTGCGGAAATCTGGATGACTTTTACATTATGAGGTTGACAGAAGTTATCACATCAAACCTGCAAAATTTGTAAGCTCAAAGTTGAAAAATGGCTAAGCAATCAAAGTTGAAACATACTAAGACGGATGGAATTGTTCAAAAAGGGACGTTTTCGGAATAGGTGGAGCAGTGAGAAGTGATAAAATTCTAAGTATACATCGGATGAACACCTATTAAGACCAATAGATTTTGTATACAATTGGAAAAACATAGCAAAAGAAGCCGTATATTAGTATTAAAGAGGCATATAATATTTTTAGAGGGAAGACAGTAAACAGGATGACATGCGTGAAAGAAAACCGTCATTCTGAGATTATAGTGCTGTAAAAATGAATTTTGTAACGTTACTTTACTGTATTTCCGTAATAACCGTAAATAAATCGTTTTTAAGCGGATAAAGGTTGGATGATATGAGACAGGCATTGTTAAAATAACAAAAAAAACCCATATTAATGACTGGTTAAAGCGCATTAAAATTTATTGAGTTCAACGGTGATTATGTTGAGAAAAGTATCATGTACTCGTATTACGCTTTTGACGTCGGGTAATGTCAAGAATTTTCATTTTTGTGCTCCGGGTATGAATAAGTGTCTTTTTTAATCTGATAATAATATAACTATTTATGCATTGTTTTTGTTGAAAACGTACATGTTAATAAAATGAAACATGAATTTAATAAAAATAATAGTTTCATATATATTAACAATGTATGTCAGTAATAATCAATGTTGTCCTTGAACTTTCCGGACAACCCTCCCTTATATTTAGATTTTAAAAACTTATTAAAACATTTTATAATACATGCATGTTTACAAATTAAAAACTTGGATGTTTCAATTGTCTTCCTGCCAAAAAATTAAAAATATAACAATTGTTTACAGTTTAATTTTATTCAAGGAACAATCAAATATGGATTTATTATAAAGAATTTTAAATCAAATATACATATATGTTAAAATATATATTTTTACACGCTGGCTTTAATTTTAATCAGCTTAGCAAGCATTTATTCCCCATATCTGTATCAAGTTTAACTTCCAGCAATTCTGTGACTGAACAACACATGCATAATTTTGTTGTTATCCGTGACCGTCAGTAAGCTTTCCACTTCCATAATATAAGAATGTTTTTGGATTTTTCAAAGGTATAACAAATAGCAGACTTCACAAAATTCACATTCCTCTAGAGAGTAAGAAGTGATGAAAAATGTAATAACAATGGCATGTCATTGTGAACTTGGAGATGACAGCATTTCCTCTGATACGTATGCTTTTTCTTTTAAGTTCCATGTGGACCAGATCTTGTAAGAGAGAAATTAAAATTTTATTTAAATATGCTCCTCACTCGCTGGAGTTTAATGCAGTTGTTCATATGTTTGATAGCTATTATTGTGCTACTTTTATTTATTATCATTTAACCACTAAATACATGAAGTACTAATACCGATATTGATATTATAAATGACATTCTATATAATGTAGTAATTTCTATATTTCAGGAATGCAAAATAACCGAAGGTAATCTTGATCTACAACTACTTGTGTAACCGCATGTCTATTTATGTAGCCCATCGTGGTCAATTTTTTAAAAAATAATAGTAAACATACCTTTTATCGTAGTAATATTGCATTTTCATTTCACAATCTCTTCATGATTATTAATTTGATAAGCATTCACTTCCTTTAATCCATCTTCTTTAGCTTACATTGGGATTTTCTTTGTTTCGATAACCGCTCTATTTATCATTCGAATTTATATGCGTCATTTCCGGGAAGATAACTCTGCACTTCACAGAAAAGTGTTCAATTTTAAACACTTATATCTAAACATTTGTTAAATCTAACACCATTTAGATAAAACACACGTTTAGACACAAATATTTAGCAGTTAAACACAATCTTATATATGTTTAGATCAAAGCACATAACGGAAGTGTTTATTTTCTAAGCGCGGTTTAAACAGTGATAGACAATTTTTTTCTCACATTCAATTGTCTTAAAACAAAAAAAAAATTGAGGGGAGACAAAACGTATAAATGTTTAATAGAAAAGAAATTAAAACGCAATGTTTTGCCCACATAAGTTAAAATAAGGCCTAGAGCACCCTTGAAAAAAGTTTGTGGAATTTGACCTGAATATGTGCATTAAAAACAAATTACATGTACCACTTGCATTTCAACCAATCTCCTTCCAGAGAACTAGCTCTAGAGTGGGATTTTCCCCACGGAAAAATAATATTAGGGTAAGATGTCACCCACAGAAATCCCATACCACATTCAATTTTTCTTGGGGAAATTATACTCTGTTAAGTATTTATAGAGTACGATTTCCTCTAGTGCCAATTTTCCCTCTTACGCAACTATGTCAGTATGACTGGACTTATGTTATGAGGTTGAAGGGGGCGACACAATGCTACAAGTGTCCTCTCTTCAAAGAAGTGTCCAGATGTATCAATTGAAACATACGAAAAATGAACAGAAATTAAAACCTAAAATCTCATTTTTTTTTTTCAGCAACCGGATAACCAATTTTTATAAATCTTTAAAATCTTATTCTTATCCCTAAACGGTTTCTAGAAAAAGAACAATATATCGGTCAAATAAATATTTACATATCCATAGAAACAAAAAGTAATTTTATTTCAAAAGGATTGTTTCCCACCGATTGTAATTAACTTTCAATTTATTCAGTACTTTTTTTTTCATATATTCATTTCAATTGAAAGCAAAATAAAAACAGAACTCACAATTTGGACATAGTAACATA